TCAACCCTCCCACACACCAACCCGCCCCGGGGCGCCACCTGGCCTACCGGTAATGGCGGCTCGCTGGTGGCGGGTGACTGCCGCCACTGCCGTACGAAGGAAGTACGGCTGTGCGCTGAAGGCGCGCACTAGCGGTGCCGCCTCCGCCACCCCCGCGAAGGCAGCGTACACGGGTGACAGCGCCAGCGCCTCCAGCCGGCGGATCTCCCGACTGCTATCTCGGTAGAAGACCTGCAGCCGCCTGAGGTGGAAGGGGTGGGAGGGGTGGGAGGTGGAGTCCCCGGGGGCAGGGAGGGGGGAAAAGACGAACCACGAACGAGTGGGAAAGGGAGTCGGGAAGGGGAGGGGGACGCTTGGGTCCCAATAACGGGTCGGCGATAATGGAGAGGGGGCATGAGGGCAGCTAGGGGTGAAACCCTAAGACAGACTCATACACACACACACGCACGCCGCCGACACGCCTCTCGCCTGTACATCAGGGCCAGTGGCAGTAGCAGCAGCAGCAGCAGTGGCGGGGCGCTGTAGCAGATCACACCCAGAAGCCCAAGAAGGGAGGCGGCGTTGGCCAGGGCGATATTCAAAATGAAGGGCAGGGAGTCATCCACTGCAGACGTGTCCGAGGAGAACCTGTACGGGCAGGAAGCGTACGACGCGTACGACAACGTACATTACGTACGAAAAAAATCAGTTAGGCCCGGTGTTCGTTTATGATCCGATTAGTCAACCGTAACCTGGCCTTCCGTTACACCCACACCCTAGCTCAACCCATTCCCGCTTCCCTCTTTCCCTCCGCACCCAAGCCTAAGTCTCCTTTCCTCCACACCTTACCCCCCACCTTACCCCCCCCACACACCCCGGGCCTGACCTGTTCAGTATGCGGCCGTGTGGCACCGACTCAAAGAAGCTCATCGGCGCGCACAGCACCGCATGGAGCAGCTGCTCGTGCAGCAGGCCGGCGGCACGCATTCCTTCAGGGGGGAGGGAGGGAGCGTGTGTGTATGGGGGGAGAGGGGAAGGGGGAGGGGGAGGGGGGGAGATAGCGACGCTTCTTTCAGTGAAGTACGCACAGGCACCTGCCGTACCGCACCTGCCGTACCGCACCTGCGAAGGCAAAGGAGAACGCACGGGCCATTGTGAAGACGCTGTTGGCGGCAGCGATGGCCAACACACCCCACAGAAATGTACGGGCAGTCCAGAAACCGGTCTCGCCGCTCTCGCCGCCACCGCCGCTGCCGCCGCTCTCGCCGCCGCCGCCAGGGTCACCAGCGATGCGGGTGCCGTCCGCGTCGTCGGTTGCCGTGACCGGTTTTGCAGCCGCCGCGGCATCCGCCTCGAGTACCTGCACCTGGGACGGTGCCGCCAACACTGCCGCCGCTGTCTTCGCCCTCGCCGTCGCTGCCGCCAGGAGCGGGCACATAGCGGCGGCGGCGGCGGCAGCTGCGCCGCAGTCGGCCATTCCTCCTCGCGTCGCCGCCAGGCCCTCTACGGGCTGCAACCAGGCGGCGCTAGCGGTGCTGCACCAGTGCCAAGCTGCAAGCAGCGCTGGCGCGGAGGGCTGTACGAGTGGCGGATGGCGGTAAGGCGTCGTACCCACCGCCGCCGCCGCCGCCCCTGCTGCCATCGAGGTTCCATTGAAGCCCCCGTGCCCTCGGTGGGGCCCGCCCGCTGCCGTACAAGCCGTGTTCGCTTCCGTCGGCTCGCGGCACAGACGCAGTAGCGCCCGCGGGAGAGGCAGGAAGGAGGCGTTGTTCGGTGCCGTTGCCGTCGCCACCGCCGCCGCGGCGATGGCAGCCGCCGCGGGCGACGGCGGGGGATCGGCGCTGCTGCCGCCAACGCCGCTGTGCGCGGCAAAGTACGATACCCACAGGTCGCTTGCGTTCCGCGAGGCTTGCATCAGCGCCAGGCTTAACAGCACCGCCGCAACAACACCGCCTCCAACTGCCTTGCCGTACCTGCCGTACACATGCCACCGCACGTGTCCCACCTCTCGTTCCTCTTCGTCCTCTTTTCCTTCCGTCGCCGACCCCGCCGCCGCCGCCGCCGCCACCGCAGCGCCCTGCCCCGGTTGCATCGCGTCTCTGCGGCGGTCGTACTGCCGCCGATGCCATGCGGTTGCCGTACCGCTTGTATCCGTCTGGCCCTCCGCATCGTCGCCACCTCCGCTGCCACGCTCACTCGCAATCTCAACCCCTCTCGCCTCATGATCCTCTTCGCAGCCGCCTTCGCCGCCTCCGCCGCCATCACCGCGTCCTCCGCCACCATCGCCGCCTTCCGCGGTTCCCGATCGTCCCCCCCCTCCGGCCCCCCTGAGCCCCTCATCCACACCCCCATACACGTCAGCATCTCCCTGCCCGCCGTCCTGGCTGCTCTGGTGGCTGCCCTGGTGGAGGCCGTGGCGCTGTAGCTGCTGCTGCTGCTGCTGGTGGTGGTGGTGGTGCAGGCAGTGCTCGCTGGTCCAGTAGCCTTCCGGACTGCCCATGTACGACACCCGCCCGCCGTCCAGTGCCACAACCAGCGAGGCGGCACGTACGCAGCGGACGTCGTTGCTGACGAGGACTACCGTAGGCGCACGGGCAGCAGCAGCACCACCACCGGCAGCGGTGGCGGCACTAGTGGCTCCGCCGCCGTTACCGCTATCGCCAGTTCCCTGCTCGTGCACAGCCGTCAGCTGAGTCGGCGGCGGCGGCGGCGGCGGCGGCAGCTGTCCTTCTGGGCGCAATAATCGGCCCAGCAGGGCATGGCGTACGACATGCGCGGCACAGGAGGAATCCAGGGAGGCTAGCACGTCATCCAGCAGCACCATCACATCTGGATCCGGAATTGGATCGGGATCCGACGCCGTACATGATCCATCCAGGCCCGAGACGCGCACGCCGTGAAAACGCCGCTCTATATCTGGATTCAATTCCGGACATAGACTTTGGCGCTGGCATTCCCCTGGATCTAGGTTTTCATCTGGATCTTGGCTTCTTGGATCTCGGCGGCGGCGGGTTGCAAATTGTTGGTCACGACAGGTCCGGGTATGTGCCGCGGTGCCGGCAGCCCTGAACGCTGTTGAGGTGGTGACGGCGACAGCTTTGACGGCGGCGGATACGGTCGTGGTGGTGGTGGTGGTGGTGGTGGCTGGCTTGGCGGTGTGGTACAGTGCACGCGCCAAGCCCAGACGGGCGCGTTGGCCGCCAGAAAGCCTGTGAGCAGCGGGTGATGGGTAGTTCGGTGTATGCATGCATTGAGTTCTTCTCTGTACTACTTCTACTTTCCGCCCGTAGGAAGAATTTTTCTCCCCCCCGTGTGACTTCGTTTTCGTTTTCCTCGTTTGGTGACCAGCGGGCCTACAGCCCGTTAAGCAGTAGCGCTACCCCCCGGTAGGTGGGGAACGCTGCTTAGTGCCGGCTGTCGTACCTCTCGCGCGGTCTGACCCGGGTATGGGCGGAGTGCACGAGACTAACCAGCCGCGTGTGTCTCCCCCCCGCCCGCTGTGTTTCGGCCCTGGAGCCCCCCCGGCTTTTCAGCCCACAGTATAATCGACGTCATACATACATACATACATACGTACATACACTGCACTTGGCTGGGTTCCCCTTTCCCCCCCCCCCCCGCTCCCCTCCCTCCGCTCCCCCTCACTTGCAGCCGCTGTCCCCCAGGGGGGTGAGGTCCCCAGCCGGCATCACAGCCAGGTCAGGTAGCAGAGCGCAGTCGTGGAGAACCTGCACGTGGCCGTGTATGTATGTATGTATGTATGTATGTATGTATGTATGTATGTATGAACGTGGGCAAACGAAGCAGCCACCACCATCACCATGACCATCACCATCACCACCATTACCAATAGAACAACACGCCATTAGCAAATCACGATTTGAATGCAGCTGCTGCGTGACACAAGGGGCATCCATTGAAGTACATACATACATACCTATACACACACCTGCCAATACAGACGCTCGTCCATCGCCGCCCCCAGCAACACATTCTCACGCAGCGTGCCTGCAATTACCCACGGATGCTGCGGTGCGTACGACAGCCGCCGTGCGTGTGTACGACATGTGCCGTGCAGCAGTGGCAGCTCACCACCACCACCACCACCACCACCACCACCACCGCCGCAGCTGCTGCTGCTGCTACTG